CTCCCTCGTCTGTGTCGTCGTCGTATCTACGTACTACTTAACTAAGTAATATATATATATATATATATATATATATATATATATATATTATTTGGTGAGTTGTGGAAGAAATGAGAGATGGCTTTTAACTATAATAAATACAACGTAATATATGGGGGTTATCATAATTCAAATTATAACTAAATTGTATAATTTTTATGGAAGAAAAGGATCTTGGGGGTTTTAGTTGATCAGGTTCTTGAATTAGCTATCCAAGCAGTGTGCTGTTTTTACATTTACTGGTACTAGGGCAAAGATGATTTTCATTTTTATGTTATAATCTGTAAATTGTATGGATTTACAGAAATATTGATATGATTATAAGTCTAAAGAGGCTGAATACTGTGTTCTCTCACCTTTTTGTTTATGTTTTTATCTATGTTAAACTAAGGGTCATAACATTTCAACCAATTTCCTTTTAACTCTTTTTACTTTAAGCTTAATAATAATATGCCAAAATATTAAGTATAGAGTACATACCATCTTATGAAGAAGGTTACTCAAAAGACATCTTGATTCCTAGTTGTCTAACACATAAAATACTGGAACAACTGTATAAAACGTAAATTTGTTGTAAAGAAGAAGATTAATCTTTTCAGTCACTAATTTTTTTTCAACTGAGACTACAGTACAAAAAATTATAAATTAAAATTTGGAGGCCCATTTAACATATTTCTCCTTTTTTTGACTTGTGTAAAAGCAGTAATGTATCATGTTGTGTGACATTAGTTTATCAAGGAACCGTGAGTATTTTAAGAGAGTGTTGTGTTCCATTTATATTGTACTTTTTATAATTTTCCAAAAGCACTGAGATTATAGCTTTTCAGTTCTGAGTATTTGGAAAGGTAACAGTGGAAATAACTATATTCTGTCAGTGTTATATAACTGTATTTTTGTATGTTTTTTAGGGATATTTTGAACATGGCAGAAGCTGATTCAGTGTTATCTTTCAATAATTTTGAGATGGAACCTGAAAATGTAACTCAAATTTCACCCATTATCAAAGAAGAACTACCTGATAAAGAAGTTTGTGTCTTCTACCTTGCAGGAAAATGTCGATTTGGTGCAGAGTGTAGAAACAAACATGAAGACCCAGCTATTGACTTGGCTAATAATTCTGTATTTTCCAAATCAAAACGAACAACTCAAAAACCACAAGACAGATTATCGAAGAAGCAAAAACTTAAATTATTAAAGCAATCTGTTGAAGATGCAGAGACGCAGACGACAAAGAAGCCTTCTATGAAAACAGCTGTTGATGTTATTTCCAGAATCCAATGGGATGATTTGCTGTGCAAAGAATATTTTAAAGTAGGCTATCTAGATAGATTTCTTGGGATAGTTGAAAAACCTTTTCTTGCATTTGACTGGAGTGACCCTTCCATTGTAGATAACTACACCTTGGCAATTCCAAAACATAGAATCCATTATTTTAAATACAAGCATAAGAAAGTATGGGACAAAAATGAACGCTTGGATGCAATTTTTGGTTCAACAGGAAGTGACATCAGCATTAGTGATTTAATGAAAGAAGTTGACGAAGAAGAGAAGATAATGAACAAAAAAGGATTAGAAGTTGAGGAGAGAGAAATTGATGATGAAATGTCTAGTATTTACTCAGATGAAAGTTACAGTGATGATTCTGTTGAGGTCCATATTCAAGAAGGAGCAAAAACAGGTGAGACAGTTACCTCATTTTGTACGCATGCATCTGAAATAAAGGAGAACAGTGATCGGAGCAGAACAAAAAGTCAGTTTGAATCTTACCACAATAATATTCAACCAAATTTCTTCATTGCAGTAAGACTTACAGAACCAGATGTATTGGACAAAATTTTGGAAGTCCGTGATCATATTCAGTCCCTTGAACCAGTACTGAAAGAATGTTGCATGAATCGAGAAACTTTTCATCTCACTCTTTCCATGTTACACCTGGAATCTGTAGCAGAAATTAATCAAGCTTCAAGGGCCATCCATCTTATAAAAGATGAGTTATGTGATTTTATAAATCCCCATATTGAGCTTCAATTACGAGGTCTTGATAACTTTGAACAGAGAGTTGTTTATGTCTGTGTAGAAAATCAACCTTCTTTCATTACTTTTGTTGAAAAAGTGCAACAACTTTTAGAGCGTGAAGGTGTCACTTTAGCAAATAATTTTAGTTTTGTCCCTCATGTGACATTATTAAAAGTCAATAGACCTGTTTCTAGATTAAGACGTACAAAATACATAGACCCTTCTCTTTACTTGAAATTTGCACAAAACCACTTTGGTTCTATGAAAATTGATAACATTCATCTTTGTGAAATTGGAGATCACAGAAGAAAAGATGGATTCTATCAGTGTGTCACCCAGTTAACCTTATAGTAACAGATTTTTAGGTCATCTAAAGTTATTTTTGATGTTAGAAAAATTTGTCTTACGTAGACAGTGGTTCCCAAACTTTTTTGTCTAAGGACCATCTGATTTTTTTTTTTAGGGAGGGGGACTTGGCAGACCACATAATAACAGTATAATTTAACAAAACAAGCAGTAAAAAACACTTTGTTATTAATATTAATTGCATACTTACTTTTGTAAGTTTTAATGCAGGGGGCCTATTTTTGTGAGCAAAGTTCTGTAATGTTTGTTAGATTTATCCTCAGGTTCAGTATTTATCCTGCTTCTGTGTGTGTGTGGACTTTAGGGCTGCAAGTGATGAAGATTCCATAAAAGCAAATGGCATCAGAAAACAAACTGATTTATCTACAAGTTCTGGGTACTCTCCAGTTCTCTAAATCCAAAACCCTAATAATATTTTATTTTTAAACTCTGAACTTAATGTTCTATTGAAAGAAAGCTCCATCAAGCATTCTTCTTTCATAGAGAAGCCAGCAAGCAGGTCATTATTTAACAATGTGCTAAAATTCCCAAGTCAATAAAATATTTTTGCACCATATGATGAAGATTTTAACTTTTCCACATAATTTATACATATTTTTCCTGTGTCTCAATTATCAAGTTAGCTCAAGGATCTACAAACTTTAGCATAACTTTTCCTCAAACTATCCAAACGGAGCCCAGAGATCATATTTGAAAATATTGGTCTCAAACCAAATTCATGTTAATATCAACTTTCCAAATATGTTTTTGGAAATCAGTTTCTTTAATCTATTACAGTAGGTTTTGCATGCACATATCAGGCTTTAATATGTTCCTTGATGAAGACATATACTAACAGATCAAAAGTACCATTATGGCCTGCTGGTTAGTGTGCATGACTCTCAATCTGCAGGTTGTGGGTTCTAATTCAGTCACCGAACATGCTTGCCCCTTTCAGTCATGTGACGGTCAATCCCACTGTTTGATAGAATAGCCCAACAGATGGCTAGTGCAGCTAATCCTCGAATAGCTTTGCAAAAGATTCAACTAACAAACAAGCAGATCAGTATATCTTCTCCAAGCAAGCTGTAACTGCTGGATAAAGGCAATGGAAGTAACAAAACCTTAGGTCATAGCACCCAACTGCATTGGGGATGTTCCATCTATCAAGCATCTATTAAGGATGACAGTGAGGAATGGTAGCAGAGGCATGTTTTTGAAATTCAACTATATTTTGCTGTTTTTCGTTTATATTAAATTCATTATTGTTTTACAGTGCTGATTTTAATTGCCTATGAATAATTAATATATTGCATAGTATGGTATCTATTGATTTATATATATGTATATATATATTTGTGTGTGTGTGTGTAAAATGAACAATGTAGATTTAGAATGGAAACTTCATTATCAGTTTATTTGCCAGAAAGCAACATTTAATATGAAGGTCATCCTTGATAGCATATTTTTATGTACAAGTATTACACATTGTTGATGTAAACTCATGATGTGATTGATTAAGATAAGAGGTTTTTCTAATACACTCACAGTTTCTCTAACTGTATTTATATTCTTTCAGTAAAGCCAAGACAACAAAATTAGTGAAAATGCCATTATTTGAAAGTTCTATTTGAATAAAACATTATAATTTTCTCATCAGGTAAATTGTTAATTACCAGTAAAATCACGTAGGATGGATCAAACTTTAACCAATCAATTGTATTCTAGGCTTTCTATTGGTTATAGATTTAATAGGACTCGGCCTCAGAAAAATTTATTAGCAAATTGTAAATTAGATCAAGTCAAAGGTGGGCGTGGCAAGAGGTTCTTGCATTTTCATTGATTGCTCTTTAGTTCCATAAGATTGAAGGATATAAAAATGTAGATTAATAAGATCAATGACGAAATTATACAGAATATTTTAGGTTACATATCGTAGTTTAAAGGAGGTGGACAAAAAAATCCAGAAGATGAAAGACTTCAGAACAAATATTCAAATTCTTACACTAGAGTAATTTGAGATTATTTTAAACTATTTTCTTATATAATTAAGAACTTAAAACGTATATAATATTAAAAGTTGTGCATACTGCAAGTGATTCTAGTGCCAGTAATAAGGAAAAAATTCATCTCAGTATAAAAAAAACTGGAAATCATCAAAAAATTTGATGAAGGCTAGAGGCTCATAGAGATCGCCAAAGTGTTCAAGCTCTCACCATCAACTATAGCAACTATTAAGAAAGAAAAATTATCCAAAGTGCTAAGTCTGCGACACCTGCATCTGCTAAATTACTAACTAGGTATCGCACTAACATAATGGAAGAAATTGAATGTCTGTTAGCTTTATGGGTGGATGGCATGAAGCAGTGAAAGGATTCTCTGATGACTAACATGGCTATGCAGGAAAAGGCACTTTTATTATTTGAAGACCTGGTGAAAAAGAACAGACAGAACCAGGACCTAGTACAAGTACTAAAGAAACTGCAAGCAGAGGCTGGCTTGATAGGTTTTTAAAAAGACACAGTTTAAAGATGACCAGTTCTAAAAGGTATTGTTATGTCTCTGTTCGTTTGTTAATTTCCCATATAATTTCTTTCTGGTGAAACTTTAGTGATACAAGTCCTTTCTTAAATAAAACTAGTTTATTCTTTCTCAATACAACTTTGCAATACACTTAATTTCCATTGTCACTTTAACTTAAACACACACTATAATTCACAATGATTCACGCACTTTACTTACGGTCACTACCACACTTGACTCAATTATCCATCTCTATCTTTGCAATTATCTATGCCGTGCTTATATACAAGAATAGAGGGTATATAGAATGCACTCGCCTCTTCATGAACCTTTTAGACACTTATCACGTGTTACCAGCGTCACATAACCCCTGCTGTCGTAACACTGCCCCTT